ATGGGACAAGCAGCTCCCCACTGGGCTTTCACAGAAGATCCCCCTGTATGGGAACCAGTGACTTGGTTTGATTCCATTTTTCCTGTATTCAACAATGAAAGTTCCTAGATAGGAGAAACAGAGCCTCCTCCTGTATCCTCGTTTGACTCCATGTCATACAACGGGGGCAATATGACTTACTGGTCCATGCAAGCCCCTATCTGTACAGGTGCTGACCCCTGTGTTTAACCTTTAGAGCATAGTATGGCTCCACCTGAGCTCAGGTCCTAATTCCCTTGAATTTTTATCTTCAGGAAGTTACAAACATGGTACTACTACTACCAATGTCTCCAGACACATCTTGCGCTTTTGTCATGACATCAGACTTGCACCCTGAATATCAAGAAGTAAACTGGGAATTATACAGAGGCCCCAACAGCCACAAGACCAAACTGGAAAACATAACCATCATTGGCTGGGGACCAAGAGACTATCTTCAGGACAAACACAGCCATACGCTTTCTGAGTACACTTCCAATCTTTCACATCCCATTGTCTATAGTAATGATTCCATAACCTGGGGAGAAGGTGGTCTATCTGCACTTCAACCCCTCTTGGATACCAGCCCACCACAGACCACCAACTGGAGGCTGGGACATTCCTTCCATCCATACCAGATATGGCAGGGACAATTATCAAAAAATGGGTGCTAAACCAAACTTACCCTTCATCATAACAGTACTTCTTATATCAAAGTGTGCATCAGCCATCCATATGTCTTTTTATAAGGCCATTTAACATTTCCCTCCAGGACTCTATATGATGCTACGTGTCACAACTGTATATATTACGCTTGCCTGCCTCAGGTGCCTACAAATTATAGCATTTTAGTGTTATGTTGAAAGACATTTGCTTATTTACCTGTCAACTTAACCCACCCTTGGGAAGAGTCCTGTGCCCTTGAGATCTTGACTCTGGCCCTCTATGGTCTCCACCACCCCAAGCGGTTTATAGGCATGCTCATTGCTGCTCTCGTGGCTGCCATAGTCATTCTGGCCACAGCTGTTACTGCAATTGCTTCGTTGACCCAATCAGTACGGAGTGCTAAATATATCAACCATGCTATTCTTAATGTCACACAACCCTTAATATTCAACAATCTATAGATAAAAAACTACTTGCCTGCTTACAGCTTGTGGAAGCTGCTATTGAGTTCTTGGGGATCACCTAACAGCTCTTAATATAGAAAATTCTCTTGCCTGTGATGGCGTCATAAGCTTATATGTATCACACATCTATGGAATGAAATCCACCATACTTGGGAAATGATCAAAAAACATTTACAAGTGTAAATGGTCCTAATCCTAATCGCCACCACACCCAGCTCTAAAATTGTTATTTGTCTAAAAAGTATAAAAGCATCTTGCTTTAGTAACTCCTTTGAACTTTACTTTCTTGTTAGGATTCCTATGTACAAGTATAGTTTAATAAAACTTGTATGCTTTTTTCCTGTTAATCAACCTTACACTGATTTGATTTCTAGATCCAGCCAAAGAACCCACATAAGAACTAAGGGGAGGGGCAATCTATTCCTCCCCTACAGGCTGTTAAAATTTTTAATGTCATTCATGTAATAATATAAAGGATTTTTTTGGGAAACATACTATTAAACAAAAATTATGAGAGGCTACTGCACTAGGCCCAAGAAACCAAACCAAACCAAAATAATCACTTCTGCTAAACACTACATAATGAACATGAAACTAAAGACACAGAAAGATCTCAAAACAGGTCAGCTTTACCTACAAACAAAAGATTCCAGTCTCTCAGTGAGTCAGACTAACAGGAAGTCTGCTCTGCTTTAACCCTTACCAAAAAAGTGACCTGTTAACCAATTAAGTTCTTTTTCCTTTATTCTATTTACTCATTCCCACCTTATAAAACACACTGTATTCTGCTACCCTCAAGTGGGAGTTCTAATTCTATTCTGCATAATGGAGGTTGCCCTCATTCATGAATTGTGAATAAAAGATCAATAACTCAATTTGTTGTAATTTTGTGTCCTGATGGTCATTATTTGAAAAACATGTCCAAAACCTCTGCCCCACCTCTATCCCCAGTGGTACTCAGATGGAACCGAAAGTCTTGCACAGGGAAAGTGCTCTACCCTGAGCTATATCCCCAGATCTAATAGGCTTTTGTTCTTTTCCTAGCACACCTTTAGCTGGTTCAGAATTCCCAGGAGTAGATGAATACTTTTCAGAATATTGGAATTAGAACAGATCACCATGCCCTAGCACTCAAATGTGTTTCAGGCCATGAACAGTGGGACATAAGAGCATGGCTTTTGTAGCTTGATGTTTAGAACAAAAGGAAAGCCTGTAGTCTATGGTTACTCATAGAACCATAGAATTGTAGTGGGGATGCGCTACCCTTCTACAGGTTATACTACACAGGCACACCATACCACGTTCAGGATGCAGGGAAAGGCAGGTCTCGTGCTACAATTTGGATCTTAAGTCTCTCACAGGCCCATGTGTGAAAAGTTTATACCCCAGAGGTATACATTTAGGAGATGGTGGAGACTTTTCAACAAATAATTCTGCTTCCCATCTTCTTCCCCACAGTGTAGTATGAAGGACAGGTAATACGTTACACACAGAAGAAGGAAATGGAGAAGCATTATAACCTGGGCACAGTCAACTGTTCTAAACAAAAATCTATGACTGCATTCGAAATTTAACACTGGTTTAAATTTTCATGCAACTGTTGTATGTAATGCTTGTTTGTGGACCAGTTTTCCAAGGAACTAATATGGTGTTTTTTATGACTCACCGATAGGCTGAAACATCAGTTCAATGGTTTATAAAGTGTCTTTTAAATGATCAAGAAGATTAAACATCAGAGCAAGTGCCAGATGTGTCGGCATACACCTGAAATCCCAGCACTTGGGAGGCTGAGGCAGGAGGACTACAGTGAACTTGAGACCAACCTGGGTTACATAGTGAGTTCAAGGCCAGCCTGAACTATATAGTGAGACCTTATCTCAAAAAATAAAAAACAAACAAACAAAAATCAGAGCAAGTTATGTAACGAAGACTGAATGTATAGTATAACTCCATTTTTGTTTTTAAAAAGAAAAACCTTGATGTTTGTATCCATCTGTGTGTATTTGTTTAAATTAGGGAAGACTATGCTTTAAACTTTTAATATAATTACATCAGGAGAATGGAACTGAAGAAGACCATAAAGAAAAAAAATTATCTCATTTATTCCAATAAAGTCACCTCCTTTTCTATTTCATCTGGTTCTGATTTATCAGTTTTCTTATCACTTCAGCACTAAGGTCACATATATTTTTTTACCCAATCATTTATACTTCCATTGAACAGTCACTGTATTAAATCCCTGAGAAACCAAGATAGATACCAGTACCTGTCTTACAGTTTAGTCTAGTGAGAAAAGCAGGTACACTGGTATTTAATTATAAATAATGTGGCACAGGATAGATCTATGAAGTCCTAAAAAATATGTAAGAGGCCAGGCAACAGGGTAGTCAGAAGGACATAAGAAGTAGAGAAAACATTCCGGCCCAAACTAGCACTCTTAAAACCTTGCCAGAAGAAAGAAACTATACAGACAGATGTTTATATGGCACAAAAGGGATGAGGCTGGAAATGTGGGCAGCATCAGACAGCAGCAAAAAGGCTTTGCACGCTGTTAAAACAATTCAAATATCCTGACGAGAGTAAATAAAAAATCTGCAGCAAAACAAAGTTTATAACTGAACTACTCTCTTAAGCGCCTGACTATATTTACAAGTGTCTGGATGATGTCTTTGCCTTGAAGTCCTTTACAAACCCCGAATGGGTTTAAGTGTCTCTCCCACTACTCTTGCCAGTCATGCTTGCATTTCACCTTTAGTATTTATTCAAACCCTGAACACTCAGTTGCTACGTACTATGCCCATCTATTTCTTTTCCATCACCTTAGTTCCAAGATCAGAAGTGATTCTCATCCCTATATCCACCTAGCAGGATCATCTTAATAAGGCAGAGATGTGATCACTGTCACGTCCCACCTTTAAGTAGCTGGAAATTCTATCAAGACAAGGATCATCAAGCCTAGCTTTACACACTGCCTTATGTCACAGCTCAAGAGTCTGGCCGCGTATCTAGCACTCCATAATTTACTGAATGCTCGTGTGAAAAGCCTTCAGTAAAGCTCCACTCCATTCAGAGTGAAACTAAACTGAGACTCTCCGGTCCCAAATTATCTTTCTGATCCCAGATCTTACAGTGTCCCTCAGGTTTTCCTAAGCACCTCATAATGAAAATCCATACCCTGTAGATACCTGGTGTATTCTCCCTTTCGTTCAGCTGCAGCTGGAAGGAACAGTGCATTTGCCAAATAACAGAATTGGTTTTTCTCCCTACTACTGGAGTCCTCTCGTTTATCCAGCAAATGGTGATGCCAGCAGAGCTGTGCAGATCTTTGTGCCCTGTGTTCGGAGGGCATTGTCAAGGCCATCAGCACTCAGTAACAGTGAGATGAATGAATGGGTCCCTTCAAGCCAATCCTCTCAACCACCAAGAGGGAGAAGGGTGGGGCTGGAGCACTTGGAGAGAAGGGAATATAGTGACTAATCTTTTAGCTGCTTTTTTTGTTGTGGTGGTGGTGCTGCCAATCGCACCCGAGGCCTTGAGAGTGCTACACTAGAGCGCCACCACTACACCCCCAGAGCCCCTTTTCTAACAGAGTACAACACTCTGAAAACAGCACAGCACAGTACAGTACTATACAGCCCACGAATGTTCACCAATATAGTACACACTCGTGAAAGCAGCGCTTAGATCAAGAACCAGATCACCCATTACCAATTCCGCCCTACACCCTCTTCCATTGACTGCTCTTTAAGCTCTCAAACAGTCGGAAAGCTGCAAGCCCGGGGCCTTCTGGCCGTGGCAAGAGACGCCCGGGACGAGTCAGAAAGGGCCAAGGGCCGAAAACGTTCTTCTTACCCACGAACTTGAAGCGACTCATGGCTGCACCTCCGCCTCCACCCCGGCGGAAGCAGACGTGTCCTCGGTCGGCCCGCCCTTCCGGGATTAGTCCTGCCCCCAGCCGCAGACTTCCGGGCTCCCGGCAGCCCCCGCGGCCGCTGAAGGTGAGAGGGTGGGGATGGCGTTCTCGGCGCCGACGGCCTACCTGACCCACCAGCAGAAGGTGTTACGGCTTTATAAGCGGGCTCTGCGCCACCTGGAGTCGTGGTGTGTCCACAGGTGGGAGCAGGGACCCTGGGGCCCGGGAGCCGACGTGGGTGTGGAGGCTGAGAGGCCGGGCCGCAGGCGGCTCAAGGACTTCGGGGACGGAATGGGAGGGCGATCCCCGCTCCCCGAAGCCGGCCTTCGGAGCTGGCTGCTGTCCAGACTTCGCGGCCCCGGGCTGCCGGATCTTGAGGAGAAGCTTGCGAGGTTGCGGGTCTGTTTTCCCGTCAGCAAGTGGCCTCTGGCCCCAGCGCGCGGGGTTGCACGCAGATCAGATGAAGTGCCCGCACCTGTAATTGCCGTAGGTCTAGCGCTCGCCGAGTAACATTTTCTAAACGATTGCACCGAACCTAAATTTAACATCAGTATGGACATTACTTTATTGAGTGCGCAAAACAACCCAGGGGTGAGGGGATTATTTTAGCCCTGGTTTACAGATGAGCAGGTTGAGGCCCTGGGAGTAACTTGCCCAAGGCCGATCAGCTGCTGAGTGCCGGGTTAGGATTAAAGTTCAGGTGTGTGACTCCAAAGCATCATCATTCTCCTACCCTTCCCGTCAGCTTCTCTCTTTTTAGCTTCATCTAGTTCTGTCCCTACTTTCTAATCTTTTTCACCTCCCGCATAATTCTTTCCTCCTCTGTCCAAAGCTGGTCCTGGAATATCGTGTTAAAATATATAGGTTGTGGTGACCTCAGTGCAATGCAAGGTGGGTGACAAGCCAAGATGCGAATGCCAGGCCTTTGCTCTCTTGTCAGGATTCCAAAACCTGTTAGGTTAGGGTTAGGGTTAGGGTTAATTTCTTACATTATTGCACAATTGGGATGTACCGGGGGCTTTGTGAAGTGTGTTTATGTGTTCTGATTTATGGAATCTTCATAAAGACCTTAGCATATAGACACCAGCAGGTAGGGAGGAGCCCTTGCTTAGAGCCATTAGTGCACCCCGAGCTTCTAGCAGTATCAAAGCTGAAGTTCATGCCCATTCTCATAAGTGGTCTAAATATCTCTCTCCTATATTCTGTCATTACAGAGGCCTACTTTAGGTCCGTGTCCTCTGGTCTGGACTGTACCCAGAGCACCCTAACTGATGTGGATTTTTGTTGTTGTGGGATGATGATTACATTTTTTAGTTAGTAAGGTTTATTAGGACCATTTTCCAACAGCTGGCTGATTAAACTGATTTTTTTTTTTTTTTTTGGAGACAGGATCTCGTTATGTAATTCATGCTGGCTTAAAACTCACCATTGTCCTGCCTCAGCCTCCTTAGTGCTGGGATGACAGGCATGTGCCACTCAGTGTCCTCTGTGAAGTCTACTCACAGTTCCCTCAGAACCTGCCTATAGCTTGCCTAGGATTGTATAGCTAGTGTCCGTCAGGATTCAAACCTAGGTCTCTGTAACTTGAGCAAAACTTTGTACCATGAAACACCTCCCTTTTTATCACTATCTCCAGAAGTTAGCACAGGCCTAGCACAAGATAGGAAATTCAGTAATTTGTCAACAAATAAATGTTGAATGCTCCTACAGAAGCTTCTGTAGCTTTTCTCTTTTGTTCATTCCCTTGCTTATTTTGGTTAAATCATCCTTCCTTGGTTGGAGGAGAGAGGGAAGAAATGGCGAGGCTGTATTTAATACAGTATGTCTGGCGGCTGATGGTTGGAGGGATGCAAAGGAAGCAGTCATGATATGGCTGCTCCAGAGGCAGCATGAGGGATAGGCCAGGAAACGACACTGCTCCTCTTGGCGGCATTAGTAGGAATGTAGCTCCTGTCAGACTGTACTGTATTCCCACTTCAGTAGATGACATTTCTAACCTCCAAAGTCCTTTGGTTTAAGGCACAAATACCGGTACTTTGCTTGTTTGATGAGAGCCCGGTTTGAAGAACATAAGAATGAGAAGGATATGATGAAGGCCACCCAGCTTCTGAGGGAGGCAGAAGAAGAATTCTGGCAGTGCCAGCACCCACAGCCATATATCTTCCCTGACTCACCGGGGGGCACCTCCTACGAGAGATACGAGGGCTACAAGGTAGGTGAGGGTTCCAGGTTGAATGGCACAAAAGGGGGTCTTTGTTCTCACTTCACACCTCAGCCATATGTCCCACCTGCACTGTGAAGATGGCTGGGACATTTTCTTCCTGAGTTGTCAGATTTTTTTTCAGGTGTCAGTTTTTTCTCCGAGATGTCATTAAAATTTTTCTTTGTAAATTCAGCTCCAAGATCTTTCAGTGTGCTTTTTGGTAAAGCCAGGTGGTAATTTACTTGGAAATAACCTAATTTGGGGACCTAAGAGTTAACCTGTTGTGATTGGTACTTACTATTCATGAGATATTCTTAAGTGATGCTTCCAGATAGCACACAGCCACCCCGGTGTCTAGAAGATGCAGGTAGGGAAGGAGGCTGTGATTCTCTTGGCTTAGATTACTACATTGGCTCTCTGTACCACGCCATTCTTTACCGTTATGTTCCTGCTTAGCTTGCGCTGTTCATTTCTTAAAAGTCAAATAGCCTGGTGGTCACAGTGATTATGAAAGTACAACTTGAGTTTTGTCTTCTGTTTCCTAGCAGGACCCCGTCAGTGGCATTGTAAGTGTATCCTGTAGAGTAACATCATGATTTCCTCTCCTGGCAGGTTCCAGAATGGTGCTTAGATTACTGGCACCCTTCTGAGAAGGCCATGTATCCTGACTACTTTGCCAAGAGAGAGCAGTGGAAGAAACTGCGACTGGAAAGCTGGGAACGAGAGGTGTGTCTCCTTGTGATCACTGGATGGACAGTCAGCTCAGGCTTCTAGGTGTTGAGGTGCCAGCTGAGCCATGACACTTACCCTGGCCCCTTGCTGCTCAGATACACTTCTGTTTCTAATATTCTCTAGTTCTCTTTCACCTTAGCCCTTTAGCTGACCTTCTTGCTGTACCCTACTATTCCTTAACCTTTTCCACCCTAGAGCCTTGAGCATTTTTTAGTGATCTCCTGGTGGTCTGAGTTCCATTTATAAATGTTCACTCTTGTAAAATACAGGAGGGCATGAGGGAAAGTAGTGTCTAGTTGGGTTACTGCACTACTATAGTCAAAAGGTTATTGTGACCAACACTGGGATGGATATAGCCGATATGGAAGGAAATAGACTTCTCCAAGTATCTTTATGAGAAATAGGTTGGTGGGTGGGGGGAGGGGTGGGAGAGAACAAGGAATCAAGAATGGTTTCCAGGTGCTGAGCGTTAACCTCTTCAGTGTGGTGGTGATGGTGGTCGAGATCGGGAAGGTGAGTAAAGAAACAACTATCAGAAGTACAGCCGGGCATCTCATTTTAGAAATGTGAGGCCTGGGAAGCCTGTCTGAGATAAAGGAGGGAGGCAGTTCTGGATGTAGGAATTCAAACCTCCAAGGAAGAGAGTTGGTCTAGAAATAGAACTGTGTGATTTTGGTAGTTTATAAAGCCATAGAAGTGAATGAGATCCTTAAGAGAGAGTAGAGAGAGAAAAAAGGAGCAAGCATTCTTCCTTCATTATAATTAGACAGAAAATGCACGTATATATTTGGGTTGGATGTTTTGACGTGTGATAGCGTCTGTTTTTGGTGACTGACAAGGTCACAGGAAGTAGTGCCGCGTGTTTGGGTTGGGCTGGAGCAGCACGGTGCTCGTCACGGAGAGCACATGAGCTCGCTGAGGACAGCAGGATGAGGAGGTAGTGAAGGTCCATCTAAGGCCGGGAATGGCTGATGTGCTGTGACACGTATGTCCCGGGACTTTTTCCTCTTTAGCTGTACTGAGCTGTCTGCGTTCCCATTAAAGGTGGATGGTGGGGTCGCCCATTAGACACGATCACTGAGACTGAGGTTATTTGAGAGAATGATTGTCACAGTGGCATCTGAGGTGAATAAAGGAAGTAAAGACAGAGGAGGTCAACTTGGAAGGGAAGATTTGTGAACTCTAATCTTCTGGGGTTCCCAGGGGCGTCCAAGCAAGTGAGCTAGAAGGGCAGGAGTTGTTTGGGTAATGGGTATTGCAATTCATAGTTTAAAAGTTGTACTGGTTCTGTGGTTAAGGTTGAAGATGTTGACCATTGAAAATCCCTGGCCACGGTGAAGTGGAAGGAAGGTCACTACGGCCAAGGGGCATCATGTTTTGTTCAGAAATGTCAATATTCAGGACTTAGCAGTGTTTTTTCGTGGTGAGCATAAAGCTCCTGCAGTTGATTGCTGCTAACCTCTTCTCTGAAGCCTTCCGCCTTCACTTTCCACCTCCTCAGCAGGGGTAGCCAGCCCACCTGCGGGGAGCTTTGGCTCTTAGGTCTCCTTTCCCGTGAGGACAGTGACCTTGGAGGTTGCTAGAACTGGGGTTGGCTGGGCCACATAGGGCAGACTGAGCCCATTTTTATATATGATTTCACGTTGCTTTTGGTCTAGGCCGTTATCAGGGCAGGAGGGGGCTTTATACTTAAGAACTGAGGTTTCTTAATGGTACTTAACGGAAACACAAGAATAAATGTTTTTCTGGGAGGGGGTGGTTGGGGACTGTAACGAGGGGAATTGCAAAGGTAGTAATCATGTTATTGTTTAAAGAGTGAGAGGAAGGGTAGGACAGTTATTTCCAATTTTGCTGCTTTCAGAGTTGGAAAATTTGCCAAACATGGTGGGGCACATGTCTGTGATTTCAGCACTCTGAGAGGTTAAGACAGGAGGATGGAAAGTTTGAACCCAGCCTGGGCAACTTAGGGAGACCTGGTTGGGGATGGGGGCTGGGGGCTGTAGCTCAGTGCAGAGAGGCCTTGGGTTCAACCCTCAGCACTGCCACAGACAGGAGAAAAGCCCCTCTGATGGTGGAAACTGTACGGCTGTACACAGCATGTCTCGGTAGTGAGGCTGGGATTGTAATGGGACACACCACAGAAAGAAGGCTGTCACTGCACTGCAGCAGCCGAGTGTACAGTCAGATGCCTTTGATAATCTTTCCTTCCTCATCCCCTTCCAGGTTAAGCAGCTTCAGGACGAAACCCCACCTGATGGTCCCAAGACTGAAGCTTTGCCTCCTGCCAGAAGGGAAGGTGATTTGCCACCACTGTGGTGGCATATTGTGACCAGACCCCGGGAGCGGCCTATGTAAAGTGGTGTAGACACCTCAAGTTCATGCTTGCAAGTGAAATACACTTGCCCTAATAAAATCACCATGGTCTGCTGTGACTGAAGCGTTCTTCTGAAGGTCACTGTGGTGCTGCATGACTGTGCCATGTCATTGTCCTCCTACCTAGTCAGATGTGTAATAAATCATGCTGACAGCACATAACCAACAAGGGAAAACTGTAGAATACAGCTTTACTTTGAAGACCGAGGTGAACAGCCTCTTGAGTTGAGGGTTTAACTAGCTGTAATGACCAGAACAAATATACAAACTCAAGAGAGAAATCCTGAGGAGTTAAATACCTTTATGTTTTTCTAAGGATTCTAAGGAGGTTGTAGTGGTTTGTTTCCTTTTTGTGCCGCTACAGATTGAACCGAGGGCCTCTGCACTGAGCTACATCTCCAACTCTTTGAGACAGGGTTGTGCTCAAAGTTGCAATCCTCCTGCCTCAGCCTCTCAGGGTCCTGGGATTGAAGGCCAATGTCACCAGGCCAGGCTGGGATTTGTAGTTATGTAAAGGACAGTTATCCCACAGACAGGCATGGAGTTGGTTCATTCTGTTGGTAGAGGCCGAATGGCTGGGTAAGAGGTGGGTCGATGAAACTTTCCAACCTTTGGGGCCAGCTGTTCAGCTTTGCTTCCTCCACCCTAAATTGGATTTTTGTAGACTCAATATAGCAAAAAAGTTTCAAGGTTTTTGTTTTTTTTAATAACTGATTTTCAAAACTCAACCAGAACTAGTTGCTTTTAGTCCTTGTAACACATTAGAACTGTTTTCAAAACCGTAATTTAGGGAACTCTTGTTCTTAGAGGCCTTGTAACCACTAGAGAAATACTATGTCAGCTTTCTAAGCAAGCTCAATTTGAGTCTTAGTCCATCTTCTGATACCTGGTACCTAAGACCTCAAACTAAATTTTAGTATGACTTGAAATGCAGGAATACACGGCTTTTTTTCTTAGTGGTTCTTTATTTATAATGTAGGCTGAAGCAACTGTTACAGTGTAGAAGGGAGACACGTTACACAACTGTTATTTATACAAAGTTTGGAACAAAAAAACTGCACAGGGAGAGGTCAACTCTTAGTACAAACTAGCAACTAAACCACAATTTACCTTTAGAAAGGATTTGTTTTTACCTGTGACACTGCTTTTACAATATGCAAAAACACAAACAGAACTATCCAAGGTGTTTTGTCACATTCTCTACATTGAATTTGGCAACATTTTATATTGTTTATTCAGATTATACTAATGTTTAAAAACTAAACAAGTGAAAAGCTGTACCAAGGTACAGTTACATCCATTTATTTTGAATGTTTAAAATACCACTTTTATCTATTGTAATCACCTTGCAATGATTTCTGCTTTTGCAAAAACCATCTCAAGCATCATATGCACAATGCATCAGCTACTTTTAGTCATCAAGATTGGTGGGCTAAACCACAGGCACTACTGTTGCTTATAGTCTGTTAAAGGAGCTTGTTTTTCAAAGGAAAAAGCTTAAATAGTCTCTAGTAATCATGCCTTGCTTGAAAGCCATAACATAAAATGTCTTGAGCAATCACAGCAATGTTAAGTGTTAATATATAGAACAGTGACTGTACAGGTACGCTACTCACATCCAGTGCAGCTGTGTGGCAAAGCAGAAAACACGTCATGAAGGTTAGAGCCAACAGAAACCTGCAGAGCAGGCAGGACCCAGAAGCCCTCCAGAGGGGCAGACGTTCGCACACTGTCACCCACCGGTAGGGGCCTACTTTCGTTCTTAGAATAGCTGTCTTCTCCAAATTTGACCCCTTTCAATCTACAGATCTCTGTTGACTTCAGGGGATAGGCATTATAACAAACTCAACTTGCACTTAAGAATTCCAAAAAACACTGCCTAAAATGCAAATTAAAAGGGAAAGTATAGTGGTTAGATTCCCAATGGCAAGCCAATCCTCCAGTTGGTGTTCAGTATGAAGCCAATTCACTGCCATTTCTTTAAGGAAGATAAGAAAAACAAGCCCCCAGGTTGGTAAACACTTTGGCAAGTCGCTGGACTCCAAGCTGGTTACCCTTGATATATTCACTCAAGTTTTTTCAAAATATTTGGGCTTTTCAGTGTACCCAGCCTGCTGGGCACAAGTAAGTAAAAGGCATTTGCTATATCTAAGAACTCCCTGCTATTACTTTTTAGTGTTTTCACATTTCCAAAGCTGCCTTACCCTCTCAGATGTATTTGGATTCAATGAACGTGAGCACAGTAGACGCAGAACTAATGCAGGGGTTCCACATCTACTCTGTGGCGGTGGTGGCATGCATGGGATTCGAGGTGGGTGCTGTGTGCAGTCAGGAGGAATCATGGGAGGAAGGAGTCCTTAAACACCCTACAGGAACAAAACACTGCAATCCAGTATGGCTTATTTGGATGCATTTACCAGGAAGCTACTAGAAATTCAACCTACAAGGCTACTCTTAAAGGTAACAGGATCGGCTATGCTGACAGTGCCCTCCCACACCCCCCACAACACAGTCTACCACGTTTCTGAGTATTGCTCAGTTGTTAGTCCTGCTTTTCTTATCCAGAACATAGTATACTTAAGTGAGAATTTTACCCCTTACCCATTTTGTTTGTACATTAAAATAACTTGAATTTGCTTCTAAGCTAGACTACTACAATGCATCTACAAAAGCTTGCAGGGGCTGGGATGAAAAAAGAACTAAGTATAGTAATCCTTTTCTGAAATTAACTACTCTGTGGTTCCCCCGTCCCAACCCACCCCCCTATGCATTTAAAATTTTACAAAGACTTATAAAAAAGTTAAATGGAATTTGGCACCTTCAGAAAAATCAAAAGGGAAACTAAGATTAAAATGTGCAGAAAGAAAACTGTCAATATTTACAAATTAAAAGATCAAAATTATGTCAGTTACATATTTTGCTTTTAATTCTTATCTAAATATGTTGAGTATTTTCAAAAGAGCTGAATTCTGAATTGCCTACAAAATTTTTTGATTATAGGTTGGAATGGATCGAGACAAATTAGGTTTTATTAATTAAAGAGTTCATCCTCCACTGGGAGCCTAAGAGAAGCGAGGGGCAGAGCGGTCATTTGTCATGGTTTTCTTGAGTTTCACGCCCCTGCGGATGGCATTCAGCATGTCTTCTCCCTGCGGGGTATCCCTCGGGCTCAGGTCTGCAGGGTCACACTCTGGCAGCTGGCCTGGGGAGACGCTGGCACTTGGGGGATCCCTTTCCTGGTCTTCAGCCTCGCTTTCTGGAATTGCCTGTCTGTGCTCCTCAGGGATACTGGGCTTTGGGCCTGGGAGTGGAGGGTTGACGGAGGCCTGGCCACTCCACAGAGAGGAGGGAATGCCAGTGACACCCGGAGGGCCCTCACCCACAGACGGCGACTCGGGGCTATGTTCACCCCGCTCCTCTGGCCCGTCTGGAGGGGCTGGCAGCACCCCAGGGAGGTCTGGGACTGTTGGTGTCTTGACAGGAATCACTGGTGTCTTGATGGGGATGGGACCACCACCAATGGTCCCCCGGCGGACGGAAGGCTTGGTAGATGGGGTCCGTCGGATGGTGGCGACCCCTGGGGTGACCATAGCAGGTCCGAGGGTGGTGGGGAGGCCGGCTGTCGAGGCTGGGCGCTTGGCTTGGAACATTCGTCGGTAGGACTGGCTGATGTCACTGTTCCTCGGGATAGTGGAGGATTTATCAAACTCCTGCTGGTCTGCCTCCTGATCACCACTTACAGAGAAATAATCATAATCTGAAACTGATGGGGAGGATTTGATTAGACACAGCCAAGGCAGCAGCTCTGCTTTCTAAAGGTACACGAGATGGGGCACACTCACTCATCATGGTAAAAAAAACTGAAGTCCAGATCAGTTATTACTGTTGTTATTTTGGTGCCACTGGGACATGAACTAAGAGGGACTCTACAACTGAGCGCTATCTCCATACTGTTTTATTTTGCTACAGTCCTGCCCAGGCTGGCCTTGAACTTGCAATCCTCCTGCCTTGACCTCCTGACCAGTTGGGATGACGGGTGTGGGCCACCAGGCCTGAAAAAGTTACTTCTGATGTGGCAGCTACCTGACAGCTGCGGCCCACCTCTCCAAAACATGCCTCACCATGAGAACCCTCCCTCCCTCCCGCCTTTCCTCCCTCTCTCCCCGCAATACTGGTTTCTTTTGTATGTCCTGGGGCTTGAGCCCAGGGATCACTGAAATACATTCCCACCCCAGGTCTTTTTTAGTTTAGGAGTCGGGGTCTGGGTTCAGTTGCCCAGGCATGGTTCTGAGCTTGGGATCCTCCTGGCCGCCACTTCCCCAGGAGCTGGGATTACAGGTGTGCACCCCGCGCCCGGCCCGCGATGACACAAGCTGAGCCCATCAGGGGGCAGGGTTTACAGTGCGGTTAGGGTGCACAGGCAGCTGTCGGTCCTCGCTGGGCTGCCCGAAAGCCCACTGCGGGCGTGCCCACCTTGGGAGGGGATGGTGTCCTCGGAGCAGCACGGCGTGGTGGTCTGCGTGCTGTAGCCGCTCGAGCACTGCAGTGAGTCGCGGCTGCTCCTCTGTGTGTCCAGCTGGAGGCCCCGGGACAAGGCCAGGGCCAGCTCCTCACAAGCCTCCATCTCCTCCCCGGGCTACAGGGGGAGAAGAGACAGACGACACGGGGGCCGTGAGACCATGTGATGTCCCCAGGCCGGCGGCCACCCTTGCTCCTCAACAGCCCTGTTCTGCAGGCCTGGGCTGCTTCCTGCTAGGGCCGTACCTTGCTTCAGCCGTACTGCCCTTCCGCAGGGAGCAGGTGGGGCCCCGGGCCCGGTCAGTGCCCCCCACCCACTGGGGAGAGCAGTGCTTACCCTGGTGGCAGCCGACACAGTCATGCTGCGCGGCCTCTGCGCCTCCTCTGCCCCCGCCGGGCCTCCCCCTGCTCCGGGTCCACTGCCACCAGTGTCGGGCTCGCGCTTCTCCTTGCGGCGCTGCAGGGTGTTCGCCAGAGGCTGGTCGTAGGGGCCTGGCTTCGCCCAGTCCTAAGCAGAACAGGTGTGGTCAGCAGCAGAGTGCACACCCCAGGCGGAGGGCTGTGGCCACCCAGCAGCTGCCCACAGCAGCAGCTGGTCCTTAGGGGAAGCCCGGCTAGGACAAGCGTGCAGCCCCTCTGGGTGCTCCCACCCGGCCCTGAGAGGCAGGGAGCAGGATGCCCTTCAGGGACCCCTGGGTTCCTCCTTTTCCTTATCTCTGCCCACAGATTAAAACTGCTCAACAAGCAGGCTGCTAGCAGGAGACTCAGTTAGAGCCACCTCACTGTGGCCAACGGATGCTAAGGCACACGCCAGAGCAGCGGGGGCAGCCTCCCCAGGGGGAGCTCAGCTCCTGAGCAACCAGAATGACTGCATGTTAGTGGATTGGCCACTAGGGGGCACCGACACGCCATCTGCCGGGCCCTCTCCCCAGGCTGGATGCTTCACCTCTGGAAAAGTGGGCCTCTTGGGGCCAGTCCAGCTGCCTCAGACAGGGAGGCAGCTGCCCAGGAGCAGCAGGAAGGCTTTGAGCAGTCTACACAGCCCACATAAACCTGTGAGCAATGAAGTCAAAACTTGCTCAGAATGCTGCCAGACTGGGTATTGACTTTCAAATTAGGGTCCTTCTCACAAAACAAAGTACCTACCCTGGGGCAGCAACTCAGCTTGCTAGATGTCTAGAAAAAACTGAAAACTCAAGTCTGTTTTATTTCTAAGATAAAACACAATGGCCCAAAATATAATTTGGGTTGTGGTTTTGTTACTCGGGCCCAGCAGGAGACTCATGAGAGAAAAATCTGAGGTACACAGCCAGGGTGGGTGGCACGGGTGGCCTCAGGAGGGAATCAACCCAGCAGACTTTGTCCTAGCATAGGGGTGGGCCTGCGGCTGGAACTGATGCTCCCTGCGATGCCTGCTGGGTTCCCAGGGTAAATGAAGGTCCCTCACAGCACTCCCAGGCAGCTGCTGTCTTGAAGCTGCTGGCTCTGGTTCTGCCTAGGGGAGCGACGAGGGAGAGGCAGGGTCTGGGGCAGGAGGCCAAGTGTGAACCGAGGGAGGAGAGATGGGGTGGATAGAAGAACAGAGCGAGGTGAGCACAGCGGCGGTGAGCAGGGAGCGGGGCCGGGGAGAGGAGACACAAACCTTCCAGCTAGGGATCTGAGATGACGGGAACATGCCAGGCCCAATGGTGTAATAATGAGCGCAGTCTGGAAGGTGGACAGAGGTGACCCGAGGGAGCAGGCGGGAGGCGGGCAGGCAGTGAGGGAAAGGGCCTGCACCCACGGGCCCCACATGGGCCTCACTTGATAAACTACAGTGAGAAAACCCATTAGACAACTGGAAATAAACAAAAAGAGGGAAGAAAAGGAAAAAATTAATATAACAGGATGAGTGCAGGGACACACGATGGCACTGACATTCGGGGAGCAGGGAAACCTGGATTTCACGAATCAAACACGGGTCGGCTGCTCATGGATGATCCACAACGCGCAAGAGGAGAGCAAGGCACGACAATGCACGCCGCCCCGACGCCGAGGCAGTGTCCATCAGGGAAACAGCGTGTCTGCATGTGCAGTTTGGACACGATCAGTGTCCTTAACCTGCAGTGTTTGCTGCAGTTTTTCATCAGTTAACTAATAATGAAGCACGGTGTCACATGACAGGGATTTGCTCCTCTCACTGTGCCAATATACAAATCTGGCGGCATCTTGACATGAATCTGTTCGCTGTACATTTCCAAAATCATCGCCCAGCTCAGGAGCAGATTCCAGACCAGGGGTGCGGTGCGGGGAGCAGCAAACTGAAAGGCGGATCAGCACAGAGCCTCTGACATGCTGAATGTCTGATGGCACCCAGGGTACTTGGGAAGGGAGGAGGTGGGTGAGCACGCAATGCCTGTCTAGGAGGGAGCCTTCAGACCTCCAAATTCCCCAGAACCCCTCCGCTCCCCTTGCTCCCTAAGACACAGCCCTCAGCCTGCTCCCGCCCTGTCCCCAAGAAGGGCCTGCTCGTGGGGTGGATGATGAGGTCCAGGTTCCTGCAGCTGTGTGGCTGCAGGCGGGCTGGGGACAATGGGCCCGCGGTGGCTGCGACCCTGGGCGGTCACCTTCTCTGTGGACACCCAGGCGCCCATGGTGGAGCCTGAGCTGACAGAGGTGGGAGAGCTGCACTCGCTCACTGACTGGCAGGTTTCCGAGGCTTCGGAGGAGGCCGAGCTGGATGAGTTCTGCAGCAGGAGGGACCACATGAGGGGACCAACAAACCAAACCACACACCACCAAAATCATAGGAAATAAAAATAAAGGAGTGGGGCAGGGCGGGCACACACAGACAGACAGACAGACAAATACACAGAAGAGGGGAGGATGAGAGAGCACAGGGTTAGGGTGACTTGTCCCCAGTTTGCACTCACAGAGATTTCAGGCCCCAGAAACACAGCGCGGGACCCGGCAAACCCTAGCCCTGCTGACTCTGGGCTCCAGGACGGGGATTTGTCCATATACCTGGCACTCGGGGGGCAGATCAAGGCGGCAGTGCTGTTCTCTAGTGTCTCAAATCCAAGTCCCCAAGGGCGGCCTGCCCTGCCTCTAGCAGGCACAGACACTACTTATTACCAAGGCTGACTGCAGCTTGGGCACTGTGACACGCCCACCTAGAATGGCTCTCCTCCCTGCACTGCTCCTGCACGGGGGTGGCCTCCAGCTCTGAGACACACCGAGCTATCTCTGCCTGGAGAGTAATTTGAGGTTGGGGGTAGGAAAGCCTGCGGTCAGGTCAGGGCCACGTTTCCAACAGCCACTGTGGGGCAGAATAAAGCAGCTGCAGTGGTCCAGGTGAGGACAACTCCCATGTGTATGTACTGAACTCCAGTGCCAAGCATGGCAGGGCGTGTGCTCTCAACAAGGCTTCCTGATGCCTGCTGCTGTAGGGCTAAGCCTGTCACTCCACCGTCACACCCAAGTTCCCATCCTGGACCTGGCAGGTGCTCCAGAGAGACTGACAGGATGAGCAGCAATAACCATCCTTCTCTTGTCAGTCAGCTCTCAGGCACGACCTGACCCCCCAGGGACCTGCTTTAAGTATTTCACAGTCACCAGCAACCTCTGCCTTAGGCCCAGGATGTTGCAATAAGCCCCGCCCTGCTGCACTGGGACATCTCCAGAAGTGTTCCTGAATCAACTGTCATGAAACCCACGCTGGTGTTTCTGTCCTTTAACCCACATCAGAAAGGTTCCTATACAGCAACAGAGGTTACGCTTTCCCAGACTATAAAGGCAAAGGACGAGGACGACATCCAGCCGTGCGTGAGGCTCTGTGGAGCCTAAGCAAGGACAGGCAGTGGGTGGAGAGGCACCCTTGGGGCCCCACACTCTCCCGAGCAGCCGAGAACCCACAATTTGAGGATTTGGAGCTTTGTCCCTGATGATTCTAGTTGAGGAACCATGAACTTCAAAGCTCGCTACATTTAATGGCTTTTCATCTTTAGAATGGGGGTCGAAAGTATCCAAATTAAAGGTGACTCTACTGCCTCTGGGCTGACTTGTGCAATTTCCTTACATTCCCCCCTATCTCATAATCACAAGCAGTCATAACGCCTGTTTAAAAAAAAAAGGTCTCTATTAAATCCTGCAGCATCTCAGAACTTGTTAAAACTTCCCTAATGCTGCTAGTCAAATGCATCTTGGGTACAGGTTTTCAGATTACAGAAAACCCCAATTTCCACCTTCCTCCTCTCCTGGCAGTCCTAGAGAGAAGGCAGTCTCCCCCCCCTCCCCCCCACCGTCTTGGACAAGAGGCTGAGCACGCGACTTTCCTTCTCAGAAAGGGCTGTCTGCCCGTGGGGCTACGCCAGTGTCAGTCTGCTGAAAACAAATCCACAATTATGCTGCACGTGAGAACAGCCTCCAGGGAGTGCAAGTCCTGCTTTCCCCGACCATTTACACTCTGCTCGCCAGCAGGACAGGCATGGTCTAGTGAAGCACATGGCAGGGGACAAGGTGACACCTCAGAGGCTAGACCAAAGCACCCTCTGGACATGACACAACGGACAGGCACATTAAAACTAGAGCAGTGGCACTTGGATCTCCACGTTCCATATGAAACTGAATCTCTAAACAAGGAAGAAAAAGAGGTCACAGTTTCCTGGGAAAGCAAAAAAAATGCTAAAGAGTTCCTAAGTTCACCTGCTGGGAGCAACCGGATACTCTGAGCTATGTCCCCCAGCAGGTGGCACTACGGAGCTCGAGGGTGTGACAGCCAGTACAATTCCCAGTGTTAAGTAAACTGCTGCTTACCAAGTGTTATGCCAGAGGCAACACGCTGGCACTATAGCAGACGCAGGGAGAGGAACAAACAGGTCCACAATGCACATGAAAGATGTCCACTGTCTTGCTCAGCCCCTGCCTTTGGCGGTAGCTGGCACACTGGCTGGGTTGAGCTGGACTGGCACCATCTGACCCAAGACATCCCATGCCACCCTTTCGCCCAGGATCAAGGCACCACCCACACTATCCACAGAGGCTCTGGTGATTCTTCCTCATTGGAAACAAACTGACAAGGGAAGCTGAGAGGGCCTAGGAAAGATATTTGAATTGCTTTTCACAACAGGCTCCCCGCCATGAAAGGAGAACCTGAGCTGGGGTTGCGGGAGGCAAACCACGGCTCTAGTGCTCGCCAGATGCAGAGTCTCACTAGCTGGGCTCTTACAGGGGTGCCAGAGTGGCCACGCCTCCAGGTCACCGCTTCTGCAAGGGCACTCCCCCAGTCAACATGCTGCTCAGCCATACCGCTGCAGAGAGACTGCCAACCCAGCTTGTACCATCCCTCCCTGTGGGGAACAGCACCTCGAGGAGCAAGGAATAAACCAAGGTGTTCCACACCAGCCAAGGTCCTCCTGGGGTTCCAGTCATCGGTGGTGTCGGGGCAACCGGTATGCCATCTGCTCCTTGAGCTGAGGACCTCTTACCTGGTTGGCAGCCTCTGGCGGCATGGGGGAGGGTGACTTGGACTGGAAGGCATCCTGGGATATGAATCCTGAGTCGTGGGAGGACACGCTGGACAGCCTCACAGGCGCCTGCTGGGCCAGGTTCGAGCTGCGGTAGCGGTAATGCGAGCTGGGAGAGTGTGAGTGTGAGCCGCTGGAGCGGGAGTCACTGCTGTTGACACTGTTCAGGCTGCTGTGAGGGGCAAGGAGCAATGGCAGCCACGGAGGCCACGGGGAGGAGGGGACAGACAGCAAGGGGTGGAGGGGAGGTGGAGTACAACACAATGCGATCAGCTCTTCGCCCTGGACAGGCACAACCCTAAGACAGCTGGCACCAAATCACTAACCCAGTACAAAAAGGGTTTTTTCAGGTGAGCAGAGGAACTGAAACTTAGGTCTCTAGTGCAGCAATGCACACACCAAGGCCTTTGCTATGTCATCTACCACCAAAGCCAGGGGACCTGCTATTGCAGCATGACAAGAACCAGGGCTGATCTCATCCATCAGCAAAAAGCACCCCCATTGTGTCTTCAGCACAACTTGGTCAAGTGTCCTTAGTCAGACCAGCTGGGTCCAGAGGACCTGCGTCAGCACAGCCAGCTGCAGCTGAAGGACTCCCTGGGGTGGCTGCACTCTGAGCCAGCACAAGCCCACGGAAAAGAACATCAGCAGATCGATCAGTACACTTGTGTGCACGCATTTCACCTTTATTTTTAAAGCAGGTGCTTTAGTTAATAGCTTTCCCCTGACCTCAGGTATTTCTCTGTGGAAGTACAGGCCTGGAGAAACAGCACACCTGGCAAGAAGCAGGCCGTTTTCAGCCTCCAAAGGCAATCAGTGCTGAGCTGTTTGCTTCCAAGATGAAGCAATAAACAGAAAGTCACACAATGACACACGCTGAGTGTTTTGCCTGAATTCCATCTCCAGTTGCAAGAAGTATACTGTGTACTCTGTGTGTAGTAACTCAGGTTAGGCAAAAACAGCTCATCCAAATCCCATGGTCCAAACAAGCAGAACTGAAACACATAGGGCAGCTGCCCTAGCCTCTGAGGGAGGAAATAAACAAGCCAGCTACGACTAGAAGTCAGTGCCTCTGCTCTCAGTCCTGTAGGAGATTCCGCTCTGCACAGGGCAGCTAAGGAGGCAGCCAAGCACTGCGCACCAGTCCTATCCTAGGACTTCTTGTTACCATGTTCAGATGGGGCAGTCTGCTGAGGGAACCCCTGATGCGGGGTAAATACCATGATTTCTGCTTGTACCTCACAAATAGCCAGAGAGGGCATCTGGGGAGGGACAGCAAACCTCAGAGCAACTCCCTGTGACTCCCTGCAACAAGGTCATGTCAATGCAACATGTTTTTCTACTTAACTGAGACTATAAGGAAGGAAAGATACCACACAGCCAGCTTTATCCCAAGGGACGTTTTCCTTGGCTAAGACACAGAGTCCAAAAAAGATGACAAGAAACCAAATGACAGCCTCAGGGGCCAAGTATCAGGATGTAACCTCTTGACCTGAGCTGCCTGCCAGGTGGATCTCTATGTAAGCTGCAGTGTGAAATCAAACACAGCAGGATGTACAGAGAAATTTCTTGCATACACAGACTGCGCAGACCCATCCTGCTCCTTAATCACATTCTCAGGAAGCAGACATTCATTTGGCTTTGAAATGTCAAAGTGGCCAGCAGCAGGTATAGTATATCAAGAAACATGATCGTGTATGATGATGTTTCCCACTTTCAAGGAAAGACAAACTTTCCCAGTGAGCAAGAACAGCCACCTAACATTATGAGCGTAATAGTGCTGCAGGTGGCAGGACTGTTCTGAAAGAGCCTGTGAGTGAACACAGAATAGGACCACTGGGCAGAACAAGGTGATGGTGGCACCCGTGACAGTGGAAGAAACCCATTTACTAGATGAGCACAAAGACTGGGCTGGGCATACACCGTGCTGCTGCCTCTGTCTGCTCCGGCAGCAGTTTGTGTAAGAGGTACACTACGTTCCCTTTTCTTTAGTCCTCATGGCTTTTGCTTAAAGAGGAAAATCAAATGCGGCATCATAACATGGGAAAATCCCTACAGCATGCAGCTGAAAGAGCACGAAATCTTTACCAGACTAAGCGCTGAGGGGCTGCCTTTCTGACCCCAAAGTAATCCAGAGCGCATGACTGTTCTTTTAGGGGATCATCTCATTCAGCACACTGAAATCAACTTGGCCCCCAAAGCAAGCGAGACCCCACTTTCACTTACCTGCAGACGCTTGACTTTCTGGACATGGTGGTGCTGGGAGAAGAGGGAGGCGTCTGATAGGACCAGCTGTAGTCAGAACCTTTCAAGTCCAGAATCACCTGAAGGGACAGAACCAAGCAGATGAGCAAGGTGCTGAGAAGGGAAATAGCCTTCGTCACACTTCAACACCCACTGGAACATCAAAACGCTGCCCTCACAGACAGTGGTTATTAAAGAAGAAAAAGAGAAAATGGTTTTTTCAATTTAAGAGCTGTACTACCAATCCATCAATGCTGTAATCCGCGGCAAGCAAAAGTACAGCTGATATGGGATGCACAGAGCAAAGAACAGCATGAAATGTCCACAAAAAGAGAGCTAATCACAGTGGCCATTTAATGACCTGAAGAGCTCTTTCTGCCCAAGGCTAGAACTGGCAGGAGTTTCACCTTCTAGCCCCATAAGGGCAAGAACCGTTTCCAGACTTGCTGAACGGACACTGTAACCACTTCATACTCAGTGGTCACCTGTAGCCCATTTGCCCAGGATTAGGAACGTAAAAGCTGACAGAATCAAGAGCAAGGGCTCAAGAGACAGCTAGACAGCTTGGCCTCGGTCCCACACCATCCCCACTGGCCAGGTGAACCTGGGTAAGTGACTCATCTCGCACAGGCACAGTAGTAAAGACGGGCTGAAGAAGTGTGTGCAGAGAGCTTGGAGCAGTGCCTGACGCACAACCCTGGCACTGGACAGGGCTGTGGGGATTCCCACGCGTTCTATGCAAAGGACGGGGTGAAATACAAGCCCACTGACCGATCGAAGCCCTGAACTTTCACCTGTTTGGTCTGTGCCCCCGAACGCCTGCCTGTCACCCCTACCTGTTCACTTGAGGAGGGAAGTTTGTGAGGGTCCATGGTCAGGCTCTTCAGGTCTTCTGATATGGTCTGCAGGTGGGTGATTTCCCCCAGCATCGAGATTTCCTCCTCCTGCAGGAAAATAATCCATTCGTTATTACCACAAGTGATTCCTCACGGTCTTAGTCCAGCAGCTTTTGTTAGGGTCCCTGAGCACTGCGTAGCCTCTTCAAGCCTTTCTACTGTGTGAGCAACAAGGCTGTCTCTTGCTTTTTTTCATCATCTTAATAAGTAGTCCCTAGTCGGGGAGAGGAACAGACATATCCACTCTTTTCCAATGTTTCCAACTAGGGTCAGGGGCCTGGGTTACAAAGAGCTAGAGAAAGTTGTATTCTCAAGGCACATGTCAAATCCGGCATCTTGCCCAAGGCGTGGGGAGGTGGAGTGATGCCCTCTTCTGGCCTTCGAGGTGCTCACCCCAGGAGTTCTCCATTCAATTACAGGATGTAAGTAACTTATTTAGAATGAAGTCTGAACTGATTTCCTGGAGGTTTTTTTTGCATTAATTTCACGGCCACTTCTGGGGAACTAGCTTGGCCAGCAAGTCTCAAACATCACCTAGACAGCTTGTTTGAACACAGACCGCTGGGGCCCCAGCCCAGAGTTTTGGTTTCTGCGGTCTGGAGTGAGCCTGAGAACTTCAATTTCTAACCAGCTCCTGGGTGATGCTGGCCACTGGGCTTCCCTGTGAAGAACCACTCTACCAGGCCTCCGCGGTCTGGGGGAAAGGTAAAGTGCAGCATCTGGTTCCGACTGTGCACAGGAGTGGACCACGCGGCCACCAGCACCAGACTTGAAGACGATCCCTGGCCTACAGACGTGACTCACCACTGTGGCTGCTGGCCTGTGGGACAATCTCACCAGCTCACAGGCAGATGCAGAAACACAGAAGGCAGGCCCTTCCACGGCGGCAGGGCCAGCCTGCCAGAGCTCTCTTCAACTTACGATCACTGGCCGCAGCATGGAGATGAAGGTGCAGAATCGGCCCCGCTCTTCAATCAAAGCCTTGCGCACTGCCTGCTTTTCTGTTTCCTCCAACAAGAGGTATTTGTCATTGACATCTTGGAGAGCACTGTCCAACTGGGGCTGGATATCGCCTCTCCCTGTGAACGAAACAAAGCCCCAGTGCGGCTTGCTGAGATGCCAGCTCGGGAACAAAGACTCCTCCTCCCAAGGCTCCTTGCTGGAGTCGAAACCACAACTTTCCAGGACTTAAATGGGGGGCAGGGGAGCTTACACTCCCAAAAGATTGAAGGCAGCTATTTTCCTTAGGACCCGATTTCCAACTTCCAACACCTAGACAGCACATTTATATGGTTTATTCATGATAAAAATCTCCTGAGGGGCCTCTTCCTGTCCTGCTTTCTGGCCCTGCACAACCCCCAGAGCAGTTGCCACAGAACCGCACGCCACACAGCCAGAGAGGACTCTTTCCTTCTGGAGCACCCCAAGGAGGCTCAAGATGGACAGACAAGCGGGGTCCCACACATTCACAAAGACAGCACAAGATGGTGCTGTTGGGTCAACCTCAACAAAGAGTTTCTGTTCCTGAAGACAAAGGAGGCAAGCAGCCCCTCCCTGCTTCTGGGGACCCTAGAAATCCTTAATAGTTTGTTTAAACCCCCAGTGGAGGCTCCTAAGTGCTCTTCCTGTAGAACAAACCCAGCCACAAAAAGTCCTGCAGTCAGGTGTGTGTCAGTGATGACTACCAGGGTCTATGCCCAGCCTGGCCGGTGTCCTTTATTCCTCTGGCCATACCCACAGATCCTAGTTAGCAGAGGGGACCATTTCCAGAGTTTCACAGTGCATTTTACTCTTTTAAACAGCCCCAGAACGTGAGCAGCGAACTGTCTTTCTAAATAAAGCCTGATTAAAGCACAGCCACATCCGTTCACTCACACACTATCTAAACCTGCTGCCCCACCATGCACGGCAAAACGTGTGTGACACAGACTGCACGGCTCTGAGCCTGAGAGCTCTTGGCCCTTTGCACATCGAGTCTGTTGACCTGAAAGACAAATGCGGGCAAACAGGCTGCCTGTCCGAGGGAGCAGTACCACCAATCTCATCAGGAGGTGGGGACACACCAGACACCAGCTCCTGAACTTCCATCCTGGGCTCCCCTGAGGCATTCTACCTGTCACCCACACACAGAACTCCTTAACTTCTTCAAGACAGGATTTTGGTCTTTCCCTGAAGAGCCCCCAGGACAAGACCAAGTATGGCAAGCACTCAATAAACATCTGTTTAATGGCTTCCTCTCTTCCTCAAGGATGCAGGGGAAGCCATCCTCATATATCAACCAGCTGCCAGAGCCACTAGCCTCATAAAGTTTTAGTAGAAAAAATCCTTTACAAACGTTCTAGGATGGATTTTCCAAGGAGCAAGCACTCCCTCTTGCAGACACCAGCACGCCAACCTTCCTACCCCACGGACAGGGGTTCAGAGAGGGAAGGCTACAGAAGTGTGGGGTTCCCTAGTTCTACACTAAAATGCAGGTTATACAACCGAATCCATATACTCTGAATAAAAGCCCACTGTGTGCGAAGCTCCAGAGGGGACAAACCTCCTCTCAGTCCCTGGCAAGACACTGTGGCCAGCGGCAGCCTTGCTGGGGAGGTCGTGTGGCTCAGGGCTAGTCGAGGCCTTCTTTAAGCCTCTCCCCCCCACATGTTGTTCTAGTGTCAAGATGGCTTAACCCAGGTGGAGATGCATGAAGAGGTGACAGCAGATTACTGCTGGAGGTGATTACTGACGGATTACTGACAGCAGATTACTGCAGGTGCTGCTTGGACATGCCTTGGTTTTGGCTGGGGTTACACCTAGATGCCCCCACCAAGCCTCCTGTGTTCAGAAGTCAGGCTTCTGGGGGTGACTGGACCGTGGGAGTCCCACAGGTGAACAGTGGCTACAAGTGCTGGTGGAGGAGGTGGAGCCCCATCGGCAGGGGCAGGTCACCAGGGCATGACCCGGAAGGGTGCATCTTCCTCCCGGCCCCGCCCTCCTCTCAGCCTCCTGGCCGCCAGGTTGTGAGCAGCTGTCCTCCCTCCGTCAGACCTTTCTGCCACGCAGCCTGCTCTGGTGACCGCTGACTACAGACTGAAAGCCATGGGTTCATGGCTGTAGGTGCCAGGTGTTGCGTCTCAGTGACGAGGAAAGTGACTGAAATGGTTATGAAAGGGTATCTACAAAAATAACGAACTATAAATGTAAGAAATTGGAAACGTGTTACCTTTACTTCCTTTCCAAGTTAGAAGGCACATGTCTACTTGTAGTAACAGGTCTTATATCTAGTAGGGAAACACCAGGCACCTGCCTGTCCTCTTGCAGCCTGTAATCCCAGCACTCAGGAGACTGAGGCAGGAGGATCACCACAAGTTCAAAGCCAGCCTTGGCTACAAAGTGAGTTGAAGACTGGCCTGAACTAAATAGCAAGACCTTGTTCAATAAATAAAGTGATTGTGTTATCTAATTTGGTAAGTATAGTTTATAATTTCCTATGTTTACAGCAAAGTTATTTTGGATATGTACTACATTATAATTAAAGGACTCTCAAACTGTACCATTCTAAAGTATAAAGATTGCTCTGACTATGGTTACAGTGAGACTATTTCCATTTAGAATACTTCATAATCTGAAAACACAATGACTGTATCTTAAGTTCCTAACCCAACACATAATTATGTTTATAAAAAACAACTGTGGAAGAAAATGCTTTGTATCCCACTGGATGCGCTGATTTAAAGATTCAGTCATCAATTCTGAGTCGCACTGGTGCTGATTTAACACAATGGGCTCTTGGGATCCCAGGACTGCCTCCAGGAGCCCCACGGATGCCAAGATCCTGGATAGTCAAATCCCTCTTACAAAATAGCAGACTGGCACACAACCTATTCACATTTCCCTGCCTACCTAACACAATACAAATACTATGGCAACAGTTGTCACCCTACCTCACTTAGGTAGTAACAACAAAAAGCCTGCACATGTTCAGTTCAGCTGCAATGTTTGTTTGTTCTGAGACAGGGTCTCACTATGCATTTCAGGTTGGCCTTAAACTCACATTGATCCTCTCGCGTCATCCTCCCAAGTGCTGGGATTAAGGCATGCACCACTACGCCCAGCCTCAGCTGCAATTTTTAGAAACATATTTTCGGTCCATTTGTGGTTAAATCTGTGGATCTTAGGTGTGAGAACCTCCTGGGCGGCAGTGTTTAGGGCAGTCATCGCTGTCCCTCAGCCCTGGCTGCTCTGCTCCCTCAGGACCTGACTGCACCGTCTCACCTCTGCGTCTCCACCCATGCAGCCCTCAGGACACCCCACCTGGACAGCTGCAGAGGCTCCTGAGCGCTGCACTACCGGTCCCACAGCAGCTCTGCACTCTGTGCAGACTTGATCAGCCTTGTCACTCTCAGGAAAGCGCAATGTCCCAGCTGGCATGGCCTGCTCTACACGCACGCCTGGGTCCTGCTGGTCCTCCCACAGCCTCAGCCTCACTGGGCCCTCCCTTCCCGCCTCCCTCCCATCCTGCAGGTCTAGGCACCATCCTCACAGACTCCCTCCTCCCATCTCTCCATCCTGCAGGTGCCCTTCCCCCAGCAGAGTCCCTCACTTGCACTCAGGAGTCCCCCACAGCTGTCCTCCTCAGCACTCCCCCGTTCCAATTTCATGGGCATTTCCCTGGTTATTAGTTCGGTATCACTTTCCCTTGTTGATTAAAAAGTCCCACAAGGGCAGAACCTCCCAAGTCTTGCTCAGTACCACATCTTCTCACTGGCATCCTTTTGGGAGGACAGCGGACTCAAAATACTTGCGAATGAACAAGGCACTGTGGAATAACCTGGCCCCAGCTTGCTTACTGGCTCACCCATTGTGCCCTTAAATGGCTTCAGAACCAACACATTCCAGAACCGCCAATCAGCCAGAAGAAGGGAAGGCGAAAATGCCTCAGATGGGCTTTCCAGACAAAATTCCTGAGCAAAGAATTGCATTTGGCTTTTTCTATAAAATCTAACTCACTGTTAGTCTTGAGACCTTTTTTCCACTGTCAGTCTCCAGGTCTTGATTCCATTCACGCTGAGGAATTCTTTTTTTTTTTATTGGTCTTTTTTGAGACTGGGTCTCGCTATGCAGTTCAGGCTGGCCTTGAGCTCACTTTATAGCCCGGGCTGGTCTCAAACTCGCAACGATCCTCCTGCCTCAGTCTCCCGAGTGCTGGGATTACAGGTGTGTACCACCACACCCAGCTCCACGCTGAGGAATTCTGATGAATACCAGCCAGAAGCCCCTTACACCTGGCCCTGAAACTTTCCTCTCTTCCCAGATAAACACGCTGAATGGGCAGCGTGTCAGAAGCCCAAGCAGCGCCTTCTGGAAGGAGAACAGTGTCCTAACTGAGTAGGGAGAATTACAAAGCTCTCTGGGTGAAAATCCTCTATCAATTCCCCAACGTTTACGCTTTATTTTCCTTAATCTCTATGTAAACATTCAAGGGAGAAATTAATACCCCTTCTAGACAGGGCACCCGAGAGTGCAGGAGATGCTGTGGTTTGCCCAGAGCCACCACTCCCAGACGGAGCCAGTTTCCAGTCAGTAACCACACGGCTGGCATCAACATCTGGATTTCTGTCCAAAGCCAAGAAGCCCGTTTTCTGCATTTTCTGACCACACCCAAGCCAAGCGTTGGGCTCGAGATGCCAGCAGCTTGATACCCCATCTCACAACCGGACCAGCGTGGTCAGTGTCACCTGCAACTCCCAGCCTGCACCCCGCCCTCTGCAGCCACAGGACGACTTCAGGACTGTGCCGAAGGCCACGGCAGCCAAGGGCTTCGAGGCCAGGAAGAACCACCCCAGGATATCGCGGGCGGCAAGTGTCACAGGAGTTAGCAAAACCTCCAAAGCCACTTCTTTCTTCCGAGACAGACACAGAAGGACGCCACCGACCCTGCAAAATGACCTCCCCCTGCCCTCATGAGTGCTGTTCCACCTTGACACCCAATCTTTGGACTTTTATACCTCACAAGTCGGAATGTGTTATAACCAATGGTGCCTCATGGTTTAACTGGCAGTTATTTTTTCTTCTTTCAGTGGTCCCGAAAGTAACGGACCATCTAACAATTAACTGATGCCGCCCTACAGTCAGTGAAATCAGGGCTGTAAACACTGGAATTTTTTCATCCACAGGTGGCTGCCCTCACCACTTCTGTATGTCATCTTCTACTCTTTATGCCCTATAGCATGTTTCGGTTGATTTCTCCAAAGAAAAAACAACCAGAAATCAAAGACAAATTTCAACAAGGAAGATTGAAGGCTTTTACCCTTAAAATTTTTCAAACAAATTCATTTTGTTATTCTTTCAACCTAATGTACCTCTGTTTCCCTTTTCATAGGTGATATAAGAACAAAGGAATTAATTCACACACAGCGCTCAGAGCCACACGGACACAATGCGCCCTCGGCAAGGCTCCAGTGCCATCAGGGCTGTGTGACCTTTTCTTTTCATCACACACAGCAGGGAGAGGAGGCAGGGTAGGGTAGAGTTTTTTTTAAAGTGAGCTTCCCTTGGAGAACCTCTCTCATGTAATTAAATGTGAAAGATCCCATATCCTTTGACTACAGGTGGAAGTTTCATCATTAGGCTGTTTTTCTAGTCTTAGCATCCCCACAGTTCATGTGTTGGAAACTCAGCCCCTAAGCTCCTATGTGAATGATTTTGGAGGGGAGGCTTTGGGGAGTGAGCAGGAGCAGACGCGGTCGGAGACTGGGGTTCCCATGGCAGCAGTGCTGTCTCTAGAGGGACAGGACAGACCTGAGTGGGCAGCGTGCTCTGTCTCAACGTCCTCTGACCTGTCACGATGCAGCAGAGACCACCAGAACTGGGAGCCAGATTCTCAGCAAAAAGCTTCATAGAACTTAAGAGCCAAGAGACTGCCCTCGGCCAGCCCCTTACTGCCTGATTCCGCTCACGTCACATGTCCAAGAGAGGCAAATCCAGGTACAAGGGACAGGTGAGCAGGTACTGCGCTCAGGGGCTGGAGGATGAGGTGATGTGACTACTGAACAGGAAGGAGGTGTCTTTTGCAGTGACAAGAATGTCCTGAAATAGTGGCGGTGGCAGTACAGCATTGTGAATGTATAAAAAGCCACCAAGGGCTAGAGATTTAGCTCAGCAGCACAGCGTCTTCCTGGCAAGCGCAAGGTGGTGAGTTCGATTCCCAGTACCAGAAAAAACAAAGCAAAGCAAAACAAAAAAACCACCAAAACATACAATTTTAAATGGTTAAAATGGTACATTTTATGTTATGTGAATTTTATTGCAATGAGCAAAAATCCAACTGTGTCTTACCTTCCTTCCATTTACTAAAAAAGTGCTCAAGCAGTTTCACAATCACAATATTAAGAACTGGAAGGGCTCAGCCTTTTAAAAGTTGGGGTAGTGAACGCCTACCATCTTGTCTAGTGAAACTGTATTATCTCTAATGTTTTATTAAAGAATTATTTTCTTATTCTCTTTAATGGCTTGAGCAATCTTTCATTTTTACATATGATAATCTGAGCAATGTAGTTGAGGACAGCAATATACAATGTAACCACCACTGTTGATTTGTAGTAATTTGTCTTGAGACCCTGTATCACTTTGAATGTTCTTGCTTTGATCTGTTTATGTTCGTGATACTGGCATGCTGCTACTGTTCTATTTTTTTGTTTGTTTGTGTCTCGTGTACTATTCTCTTTAAAATAAAAAAATAAAATAAAAAATAAAGGTTGGGGAATGATCAACCCAACATCACAAGTGGGTGCGCAGACACAAGTGTGCCCCATGACAGTGGGCCATTCCCCCACCAGCCAGAGGAGATCCACGCGACTGGGTTTGGTGCAGATGACAGAGTCCAATCCGAACACCTCGTCGAGCTGTCGGTCAAAGGCTCAGAGAACAGCTGGGTGCATCAGGCAAGAGGGCACACTGACAGCTCGCGGACAGGCTTCCCGGGACAGGAGGGACAGCACAAGCCTCCAAAGCAACTTGCGGTTTAGTAGCACAGTCACTCACATTCAATCAAGAGAGTCATTTGGGGTTGAATTTGAAGATCAGGTCCCTTTGAAATGAAACATTTCACAAACTCTGCTGAAATAAGAAATACTTCTGATTTTTAAAAAATGAATTATCATTTTTGGAAAGAACCGTATGGTCTTTGGCAGGCAAAGTCAGATATTTGCAACCTTATTACAACCAAATCTGATTTGGGAATTATTTTGAGGAGTTACTTAGTGTAGCTCTTCATGTTTTGTTTGTGGAGTGGATACATACATGTACGCAGAGGTGTACACATGTATTATGCAGAAACATGCTGATTTCCTATAGAATAAAGGTATAAATCACTTGGTATTTCTTTTTTCCAGGAGTCTGATACTGAATTATGCAGACGCCAAGGCCCATAGCCAAACATCCAAGAAAAAAAAATGATTAAAAACACACGCACACACAATTTTATTAAAGTTCTGGGGGGGAAAAAATTAAAGTTATGGGAAATTAAGTGGCACGATTGATTGTTCTGAGCTGGCAGGAAAACTAGAATAGGTCTGAACAACCATGGAAAGCCCACAGCAAGGACCACACCGTGACCAGCCACCACAGCGTTGGAATGCACTTACCCAGGGCGTCCACTGGCGGGGGCACATGGTGAGAAAGTGCAGGACACACAATTGACACAAAAAGGAAAACAACAGAGTCAAACTGGTATTCGAGCAGCGGCCTCCTTACCTTTTGCTCGCATGGACTGCTGCCACTGTTCAGCTCTGTCGGAGAAACCCACACCCACGGAGAGCTGTGTGTCCTGGCTGCCCTTCTGCCTGCCCACTACTAGTGCTCCTTCCTCCTCACCTGCACAGAAATCTTCCTAGTCACTCACTACACAAACAGAGTGAGGGTTTTGTGAAGAGAAACGAAGAGTGTACACCCCAAAGAGGCCAATTCAGATGCCTCAGCAAGAAACTCTTCCAAGTGCAATTTATCATAACCTGAAAATCATCAGGGAAGTCCAACAAACCAAACTTTAAAGTAGAATAAAAACTAAAGGAAATTAAAGAACTTAAAATTTTAATATATGATCCCTGGTACCGCAAAAAAAAAAAAAAAAAAAAAAGGTAAAATTTTAATATAATGACAAATACTACGCTGGTATTAAACTCTTATCATATATGGATTCTTTAAGTGGTTCACATGTAATCATTCCAATTCTTCCTTGCAAGGAAGTCCCTGATAAGCTTTGAACGGTTACAGATCAAAACAGAAAGCTTTACCATAATTAATGTTTTTACTTATTTTTGTAGGGCTGGGCCTCAAACCTAGTGCCTTAAACAGACTAGGCAAGAATTCTGTCCCTGAGCTATATCCTCAACTCAATTTTTAAATTTAAATTAATAATATGGAGGCTGGGAATGTAGCTCAGAGGTAGATCACTTGCCTAGCATTTTAAGTACTTGAGCTGGATCCCAGTTTGATCCCAGGGACTCAATCCCCAGTGCTGCAAAACTTAGTAATAATAATAAATGATAATATGGGAGTTAAGGTAAATGAGAAATAAGGCTGCTGACTTCACACACTAAGACGGACAAAAGGCATGCAAATCAGTATGTGTGCAACTTCTGATCCTCCCTTATTTCTCCAGGACTCCAAAAGCACTGAGCTGGCATCAGGCAGCAGAAGATACTGGCTCAGTTCCACACGGTCTCCCCAGCTTCCTGCTGCTTTGTCCCCTTATCTGCTGACAAGGCTGGCTCCACCCTGTGCTCTTGACCCCCTGCAGGAGGGGACCATCCCTCTCCAGCCCCAGTCCCCGCCCATGTGCACTCCTGGGAGCCGTCCCACCGCCTGCCATGCATACACAGCTGGGCCACATTTCAAGTTGCTTCAGAAGGATTTGGGGATAAAACCTAATGACCCATGTAAGTTTTTTTGACACAAATATTTAAAGACCTTTAGATTACAAATTACCACTCTATAATTAAAAACGATAAAGAACATGATACCTGGTGAAGCTGCAGGGTGGGAAGGTGAATGATCACATACCTTATGTTGTCTGCCTACATGAAGGTGCTTATATGCACAAAGGATGTGAAATTTTGACAAGGAAGAGTGAAAGAATTTCTAGATCACAGACCTCAAAAAAAACAAGGCAGACAACTGCTTGACAGTGCCCTAAAAACAAATGACTGTCTAGTTGTATACATCAGATTTGTTCCATGAGGACAAACAAAACTACCAGAAGCCTTCTGTCCTGGCACACGAACAGTTTATAAGAAGTCAAGTGTCCAGGAATCTGACCCTTGAAGAAAATAAAAGACACCTCAAGAGGTTTTGTAGCAGAAAGGGAAACTTCAGGTAATCACAGCTCAAACAACCAAAAGCCTTCGGCTCTCTTCTGCTCCCTAAGCAGTGAGCTGTTCTCAGGTCATGTGCCTGCAAGGACAGTGCTCCACACGAGATTATGGCTGGAACCTTCTGGAAGAGCATGCTACCCTCACGAGACAAAAATATGAGCTGAACACTGGGTCCAATAAGTGCTCTTAAATAATTTAGAAAAAAATGGACAAAGGTCATCCTGAAAGTAACCAGAAAATCATCTGACTACTTCAAGGTACTGATCTAATGGATCTTGCAGGCTTGCGCACACCATCTGCAAAGCACAAGGTGGCAACAGAGCCTTCCGAAAGCCCAGATCGCACCTCCACTCTCTCAGCCACTGGCCCCGTGCCTGGGAAAACCTCCCAACTCGATGCTGATTACTCCAAGGCCCCTGGCCAGACACACTGTGTGTCACGAGCACCCAGGCAGTCTGAGAGTCCCAGACCTGCCTGCCCAGTCCAAAGGGCAGCCCATTCTATCCTCCAGCAGCCCAAGCCAACACTGGCCAGATCTAGTTGCCGGGAACTTCCTCTTACATTGCACTGTGACCAGCCCAGAGCTCCAAATTCCAGTCACAGGACAACACTGGTGCCTTTGAGGGGCAGGCGAGGAGCCGCTCAGCCTCCAGGCAGAACTTAGATAGAAGGATTTTACTGCTGCACCCAGAATTTAAGGACTGGAAAAGAGAACTCAGAACAGCTAACCAAAAATAGCTACTTTTTCTTACTCCCATCCTCTTCACCAACTCCAGCCCTTCCTAAGCCTAGGCGTCCTCATGGACCACCTCTCTGGGCCCATCAGCCCCTCAGAGCTGCTAAGCGGCCAGTGAGGCAGACCAGCCTGTTCTTGACAGGCCCCAGGCCTGACGGACTGTGGGAACAATTTTATTTGTAAACATTCACCATTACTCACTGAAATGTCATTGGCCAGAAGCCCTATTATTTGTCAAACACCAGTCCCCAGCTGTTCTCACTGGATAGAATATAAATCTGAGACACACCAGACCAGAAAAACACAACCCAAAGAAATTTCCAGAGCCAATCCAGGCAGAAAATCTGATTGCAGGTAAAAAAAATTCTGCTGCCTTTATCTTGCAATGGGCTTATCACTGTTGTGAAAATTGAGAAGAGAGGATTTTTCTTCATCCTGGGATTGAACTCAGGGCCTTCACACTGAGCTACATCCGCAGGCCCTTTTATTTTTTGTTTTTGTCTTTTCAGACAGGGTCTTATATAACCCATGTTGGCCTTGAACGTGAGGTGCTCCTCCTGCTTTGGCTTCCTGAGGGCTGGGATTACAGGTGTGCGCCACCATGCCCAGCTTCCTTTTTCCTTTGAAACAGAGTCTCAAAAGTAAGGTGCCCAGCTGGGCTCACACTGAATGATCCCTGTCTCAGCCTCCCAGAGTGGTGGAACTACAGACATGCACCACCAGGCCCAGTTTGGAACTTTAAATGTCAAAGTTTAAAGACTGTCCAGTCCTCACCTCCTCCCGAGCGCCCTCCTCCCCTGCATCCTCCTAAATGCATTTCTATTAATTCCAAAGGAAACTGCTTGTTTTGGAAAGAGAAAGATGGGTTCAAAAGCACTCTCCCTGAAAAGGCTGGTGTCCCAGACGAACACCATCATCCGAGCAGCACAATGGGAGAGCCCTGTTTCCTCAGCTGGGGTACAGAAGATTCAGAAACTGGGGCTCCACAACAAAGCCTGAAGAGTGTCCGCGTCTCTGCCTCGAGGGAAGGTTCTTCCCTCTTCACCCTTACTAAAATGCGGCAGACGCCTGCAAAGTAGACACACCCCGATTTTTCTCTTCAAACTCCCACCCATCCTGAAGGCGCCGAGACGGGCCACGGGTGTGGGCATTCATGGGTTCGGGAGAGACAGTAAGCGCGCTATACCCTCCTTGGTTTCCTTCAGTGGTAAATTATGAAGCTCTGCCCTCACGAAGACGAAGAAAAATCCCCCAAATAGCAGTGCTTTTCTGGCTCCCCTGCAGCCCCTTCTCACACCCTCACAAGACTTGCACAACATGGAGTGAGTGATATCGTTTCTGTGACAGTTACTACAGAATTACACAAGGCCTGTTCTGTATTATCCCAATTCCTTAAAAGGCTTCTGAGGAATTCACAGTTTTCATTACAAGGCGCAGTAGGCACAGAAAATGCCTACTTCAGAACGACAAAGGTGCAGAAGGAGTAAGGAAAGTACCACTTGGCAGGGCTTCGAATTCCTACAGATCCTGCACTCCACGCACTGTAATTCTGAGTCTCTCTGCTCCTATGTTCTCCAGGGCCCTCCCACGAGGGAGTCTATGCACCGAGCACCTCCCTTTTAAAGACAAAACCCACGACCCGTGCTCATTTCTCTCCATGTGACAGTATCAATGGCAGAATTTTCAGTTACCTTTCTTTGCTTTCTTCTGCAGTTTCAGTGTATCTGAGGACTTCTTTTTTATCTCTTGGCGAGCTTTTTTATATTCTAAGAGAAAGCAGAACATTAAGTGATTTTACCACTTTGCTCAACAGAAAATACTTAGGAATATCCACTACCTTTGTCAGAGAAAGCACAAACTGACAGGCAGTAAATAGCTCTACTCTATGATAAAATAGAAATACTCTATGATAAAATCTCACGATGGCATTTTATAACAAAGGAACAATTTACATGAAAAGCAATAAAATGCACTCTGCTCTTTCCCCATCATGCCAGCCTTAAGGGAAGATGTCATCTGGGAATATTTTGATAAAAACAAAAAGAATTCACAATTTCTTGGTTCAAGTATCAGGAAAGATTTTCAATGTCACCTACTTTCCCAGGGCACAGAAGGTACGGAGAAACGTTTGTTGAAGGCATAAGCAGACCATGGCCAGAACAGTACGCATGAAGCCCAACTCCGCTCCTGTCCTGGCTGTGCTCTACGCCCTCTGCTAGTTCTGGCTCCTCGTGCTGCGGACAAGGCTCGAGCAGACTGGAGTGAGGTCTGTCAGCAGCTTTCTGCTCTTTCCTGACGTTTCTCCATTGTCCCCACCTCTCTATGTGGCTTGCTCTCTGGCAAGGACACTTCCCCACTGCCCCAGATCCAGTGTGTGTGTGATGAGACCATGTCCACTCATGGGACCCATCAAACACGACCCCATTTTCCTTCCCCGACCAAGCTTGTGCTCAGCTACCTTTGGCTTCTGCAACACTTTCTCTCTCTGGTTCTCTCCGCCTTCCCAACATGCAAAACTACACCTCGGTCTCTCTGTGCAACCAGAGGTACAGCCTAGCAGCTGGGTTTCCTGAGGTATGGCGAAAAGGGCTTCTCCCAAGCCTGGTGCTGGGACCCTGAACCTTCAGATCTGTCTAGACAACAGTGGGTACACACTCACTCTTAGGCCCAGCTCTTTGTCTCTGCACATGAACCCAAAGGACAAACTGAGAAGTATTCTCTGCACACAGCAGCAGAGGGGACATTCAGTTACAGTCAAGGGTTTCTGTTCTGTCGGATGAGGAAAGATCAAGCAGAGCTCTGTATAAGCTGCTGCCCTCTCCCTATAGGGTCAGCAAAGTCTCTCTTATAAAAGCTTCACACAACCAAATCTGAAGTCTTTGCTAAAAAACAAAAAAACAAACCAAAAACCCAGCTCTGCTGCACTAGCAAATAGGTGCATTCAGCGAAGAAGTAACATGAACAAAATGCTGTGGGATGAACATGAACTCTCGCCCTTTCCCATCTGAAAGAACAAAAGTACTTCTGCCTTCTTTCACCTAACGGAGGTACCAAGGGACACACCAAGTGAACCCACAGAAGACAACCCGGGGCTGACTATGACACGGCGGTCAGTATATCTTCCAGCCTGCCTGGCTCACTAACTTCAGATGAACAGAAAAAGGCTTTTTAAGATGGTATCAAACTAGGTCCCAGCTGGGAAATGCCAGCAGAAGTAGATCTTCAGGTAAGTCTTTTTAAAATGACTCTTAAAACAAACACAGGCTCAGGATGACATTTTTCCTGTAAAAGATGAATTCTAATTTTTTTTAAGTCAGCGTAGAAAGAATAAAAGATTTCAGTAACTTTTTTACACAATTGCTAAATATTTGGCAAGTCTACCCATACTTCTAAAAATGTCTTTTTTCTTTCACATAGTTATAGTTTACTGCTTTAATGACAAAAGCTATATGATCTGTGTGTGTACTGAAAAACTGGAAACAAAATGACTTTTGCCCTAACTCTTCCTCAAAAATGCAGGAAACACTAGTATCTTTTCCCAAAGCTGGAATCTCAGCATACACAAGCCCTTGCCATTCCTTGTTCTCGAAAGGAAACAGTTGCTGAAGTTTTTTGTAAGACCAATGTCCATGAAGACACAACCACAGGAGCCTAGAGTCCTAACCGAGTTTATAGGACAAGCCCCCAAACCAAGATCGGTTCGTTTCTGTGGCCCGGGCGAGCAGGCAGACACAGAGCACAGTACAGACTGAACCGCTCCAAGGTGCACGAATGAGAGACAGGATGAAAGAGCTGAGCGCATGCAGAACTGCCCAGTGGCTACTGACAGCCCCTGGGTACAGATTAAGTTTCACGGTATGGCCGGAAGCAGGCAAAATCAACCTTCTCTGAGGCCAAAAAGAGGCCTCTTTCCAGAGCCCATGGACAAGTGTCTCCTGCACATCCCCAGAGCAGCTGCTGGCTGCGGCACACCATGGAGTCAATGAGCTCCTGCATTAGTAAGAACTGCATTTATCTCTCCGTGTATCTTGTAATATTCACACACGAAGAATGCCAGGATGACCCCAAGGGGACCAGGCCTTACTGTGAAGGTCTCACTGGCCTGTGGAAAGGGAACAGCAAGTATCTTCTCACACCAGCAAGGTTCCTGAACACTAACTAACCAGTTCACTACAGACAATACAGAATGGCCGGTTCTGGCAGGTAGCCCAAGGTAAGCATATCAGAATCCTGGTTTTCCAAGCCTCCTGAGGTCCTTTTTGTTACAGTTTATCTAGATCCTCCTCCCCCTCCCCCTCCCCCCCCCCGAGTGTGTGACTGATTTGTAGAGCTATGCTGGGATTCAGGGTGCTGGGATGAAGGGTGGGTGATGGCTGGATCAGTCCACTGATTGGACTGGCACAGCCCTAACCTCGGTAGACTGGATACAATGTAAGAGACAGAAAGAGACAGAGACAGAAAGAGGCTTGTCTCCCGCTTCCTGTGCTTGTTTTTGCTGTCTTCCACCACCATGAATGGCTGCCTCTCTGCCACCGACCCCGCCTTGGAGCCAACTGATTACGGACTGCAGCCTTTACAAACAGAGCTACATAAACCTTTTCCATTTAACTGCTGGTGTCAGGTATGTTGTCTCGGCAATGAGAAAAGTGACTAAAACACTCTTAAGAGTGACCGCCCGGCATCTAACCTGACACTGCAATGCACATTTAACGGAGCGGCCACAGCACCACCACACGGTCACACTGTCACTGCTGAGGGAGGCTTCATGCTTCCCAAAACCACACTCAGTCCTGCGACGGGATCCCTCTGGGCTTCTCACCCGCAACACAGAAAGGCCTCTCAGGAGAAGCAGGGACAGAGAGGCTCCTGGATGCTCTGCTGACAGAGGCAGCAGCACTCACAGCACCCCGCCCCTTTCAGGGCACGAGGACACAGCACATGAGACTGTACCTTTCGCATGGTCTTTATCCAGCTGGTTGGCCACTTTCTTCCACTCCTCCATCTGCTCTTGAAGTGGGTTGATCAGACAGTCAATCAAAGCACTTTTGCCAAAAGAGAAAGAGGAGAGATTAGACAGAGGCTGTGAGGCTTACGTTTCATCATCACAACAAATCTACATCACACCCTTGAGGTGAGCAAAGCAGCGTAAGGAGCCAGCGCTCACACCCTGTTCTCGGGGTGCTTCTGCGAAGACTATGAGAAGCAGTACGCACGACTGGCCGGAGCGACCCCTCCTCATTTCCGAGCACTCGTGTTCAACCAGGCTGCAGAAGCAGGGCTCCCGAACGGCAGTCACCCGGGCCAAACAGCTGTGCGGGTGGGGACGCAGCACGGCCTGAGATCTCAGGGACTCACGGGCTCTAGTGCGCATTCAGGATGGCAGGCCACCAGGGTACACTGACTGTGCCTGGCCCTGAGAGCAGAGTGGAGGAGATCTAGGGAAGTCTCAAGCTGTTCTACCAGCTTCCAGACCTCTGGGAGGTCAAGGGACTGCCAGGGGCACCCCAACTCTACTCTGTGCTGTCGCTCAGACGCACCCTCCAGCCGCTGCTGTGTACACCACTCGGAAGCAAGCGCTTGTTTTCCTTTCTTCGTCGGCAAGCACACACCCTCATGCCGCTTCGGCACTTCTCCCTGCTCTGGAAGCCTGCAGGCGGCACGAAGGGCTCCAGGGGAAGCCTGGGTCAGGACAGCGTGGCACACACTCTCCCTTCTCAGCAGCTCCCGCCAGGTGTGGGGGCCCAGCCTGCCTCAGCAGGACGCACTGGTTCCTCAGTTCAGGGGGGAGAGGGGAGATGCAGGCAGAAGCACCGAGACAATGGGATGGGGCTGCAGGCACTGAGCCCAGCGGCCCGGCTGGCAGTCCTCCACGGCAGCCCCAGCCTAGGTCAGTGATGGCGAGCTTTTCAGAGCCTTCAATGGTACAAACTGCCTGCTGCGGCACGTGCGCCATAGGTTTGCCACCACTGCACTAGACCCAGGACGGACAAGCCGCAGGGCTCCCCAAAAATCTTGCTCAATGAATGGCAGAGTCGGGGAGCCCAGGTTGTGGGACAAGGGCTCTGCTCAGCGCAAAACATGGCACCTATCACCATTCCCCCACCCCAACCAGCAGGTGCACTCCGCATCGGGGCACAGCGCTCCTCACCTCGAGAACTGCCTCAGCTTGGCTTCTATGCTTCTGTGCCGCATGCACATTCTGGTGAGGGCCGAGCCGATCTCCCGGGTGCCGCCTGTGAGAGCAACACAAGTAGAACTGAGCGGGGGTGACAAGCAGGAAGGCCCAGGATCACTGGAGAACCTTAAAAGCAAGCCAAGTCTCACCACCCTGCAAAACTAAGCCACTGCCTCCCAGACTTGTCATGGATGTGCGTGCACACAGAAGAACACACATTAAATATACATATGTATGGCGCATGTTTATATAGCCCCCAAACTCTGATATTTCTTGTTCTATCTGATTTTTTGTAATCCCGGCTGTGATTCACAAATCAACTACAATCCACTCATTAATGAGACCTATAGTATGAAAAAATTACTTCTCACAGAAGATGATCAAAACAGTGTCTGATGCTCAGGGAAAAGTTGTAGATTTCCTTCATCCGAATTTCTGGCTAAATAATCCTCCCTCAACATTATTTTGATGGCTAAGGAGGGGCTTCAGCTAATTATTTCAAGACGCATGCTCTAAAATGCAAGTCATTGAGAGAAGAGCAAGGCTAAATAACAAAACATTTTCTAAACGGCTTTGGCGGACACCAGGGGCGGCATCTTCGAGCTCAGCAAACGTGGAAGAGGTTGCAACACAATTTCCTTTCCCAAAATTCCTGCCCTACTTTCCCTTCGGACACATCCTTCTCTAAGGTGACTTGTGAAGTTCCTAGTCCCTTCCCCGCTTAGAAACAACGCTTGAGTCAGCGTCCAGCGGGGCAGTGGGCGCCGACGGCAACCTAAGGTGGTAACTGCACATCAGACCCTGGAAGGCACGGTTATCAAGCTCGGCAACGCACTGGCGCTGTAAACGCGGGCTAACAGTCGAACACTGCGCTATTTTTAGCAGACAAGGCCTTCAAGGGAAAGCCGAGGAATTTACAGCAGGCTTAACCAAGTCACGAGAAAAGCGTTTCCCTCTGATTACTACGCAGAACATTCTCCGGGTTCTATCCGGCCTCTCTTCTTGATATGCCAACGTGTTGTTTCAGTTGCACCTGTTTCCAGCCTGTCCTGCAAAATCAACAGGTTTCTATAACCAAACTGTAATAACAACGGTGACCCAGATTAAACATTAATTTTTATACTTTATTCTGGCCTGTGAAGAGACGTTTTTCTAGGGGCAATCCTTCCATTTCCTTCCTCGACAGGAGGCTTCCCAACCTTATCCCCAGGGCCCTTCGCTGCGGGGCTCCCTGAGCAGCTTCCCCGCGCAGGAGCACCCCTGGGCCCCTACCGCTAGAGGGCAGCAGAGTCCCTGGGCTCCCCGACCTCTCGGATGATTGGGGCCGCCCCTAAATTCAATGCCTCCTGCTAGTACCCAAAGTTCACAGGAGCAAAAGCACCCCTTGCTGAAAATTACTGCTGTATAAGGCCCTGACCAAAAAGTAAGTGTCACCCAAGGCTAAGTGGCCAAAAGGCGTTAAAGTGTTGCCCTTTGCTTCCTGGCACTTGTGCCCAAGGGTCCAAGGACAGCTCGGAGCCTGCCTCACTCCCACCTACCTCCTGCTTGCCGCTCCACCAGGGAGCCAGCAGAGGGCGCTGCACCCGCACACTCGCCCCACCTCCCCACAGCTCCAGCTTCCCAGAACTCTTATTGCTGACCAGCAAAGGCAAGGAACACTTTATCCCCAGGGAAATCTCTCCTGGCCTTTCTGGGCCTTCATCTGATAAAAAGTTAATAACTTGGCCATACCAGAAGCCAGCACCCTCGTGCATCTCTGCTAAGAGTGTAGACTAACCCTGTCGCGCAAGAGAATCTGGTTCCTCTCTCAGGAAGCGCCCTGACCACAAGCACCCTCTGTGCCTAGCAGCCCTGATGCTAGAAATTTGACCCAAGGACACAGCCAAGGGTGAGGGGAAATCTCCCCGTGAGGGCAGTCACTCCAATCCTGTCTGCAACACCAAAAAGCTGGAAACCCAGCCCCGCTACAGGAAGCTGGTTAGCACCCTGCAGGACAAAGCCACCCGGGGGAGCAGTGTGCAGGCTGGAGACCGCTGTGCACATCCACTCGTGCACCAGGCTCAGCCCTGGCCTCAGCGCCTTGCAGTTACTCACTTAACCTCACGACACTGCCAGGTGCACTGGTACTCTTATCGTGCCCATTTGACAGATGGAAAAGTACTTCAAAAGTTTCTCCAGAGTCATATGGCTGGTAAGTGGAACTCCACGGGGCTGTATCACCAGTTGGTGCATTTGGCCACTCAGCCACAGAGCACTTAGCAGCGGAGGGGATACAGAGGGCAAGCTGAGAGCCAAGCACAAACACCACGCCCCAGTTACTCAGCGGCACGCTAGCATGGGGATTGGGGCTGTGGACGGCCCGTTAGCCATTCTGGTTGCTGAGCTCAGAGCTGTCTAACTGGTACCGGGAGCACGGAGCTCATCCTGGCTCATTAGGATGGTGCAGACGGGAGGACCTCACAACAACCCCCGCCTCAACCCCTGAGACACAGCAAGGAGTGGAAAAGGCCACCTCAGAGGCCGGCCCCCTGCCCCATTCCTCTGCCCTCGTCTCAGTTCCTTCTCCCTAGACATATTTCATCCTGCTGGAAGCCCAGGGCCTCCCAGAAACCACTGGACTGTGGGGCATAACAAGCAGTTTGTTAATATCAGGCTGCACCTGACCACCACGTCTGTGTGGGGCGAGAAGCTCCATGAGAAGAGGAAGTAAAGAAATGCAAAGAAAGCTTCCACCCAGCAGTGTGTCTGTCCACCCTGCCCCGGGGCAGGAGGCAGGGGACAACCCCTGCGGACCCCAGGACCCAGTCTCAGCACCAGGGGCACCCAAAATAGGTCCACCTGTGTAAGTGCTTAACAACAGCTTATGCACGCCCTCACCCTTGCTAGATTTTTTTTTTTTTTAATCAGCAGCTTTGAATGAGAGGAAACTGGCTGGAGCTCAAAGAAGACAGAGGAGAAACCCGAAGAACTCCAACCTGACAGTGAGAAATGGGCCCACTGGGGTGGCTGAGGGACTTCGCTGCCTGAGTCCAACAAGATCTTCCACACCTCTGAATCCTGGGCGCCCAGCGCCCAGCATGGGTGCTCAATGAAAGAATCAACACTACTATTGGAGAAGAGACTGACCCCTGGAGGCTGAATCAGGAATCAGCTTGTCTTTTGTTTATGCCACAAATACTTGTGTACCTTATACGGGCAAAATATGAAAGGAAGGTTTAAAACCTTAGAAAAGGTCGGCCTAGAGAAAGGATGGTGTGCTAGTTTTCCCCTTCTGCTGTTACCAGTTATACAGACACAGGGCAATCCAACACAGGTCTCATTGGGCAAAATCAGTCTCTTTCTGGAGGCTCCAGGGTAGGTCTGTTTCTTTGCTTGCTCCGACTCCTAACCCAGAGGCTGCCTGCAGGCCTTGCCTAGTGGGCCCTTTCTGCACTCAGAGTCTGCATCATTCCCCACGCTGGCCTCTCCTCTGACCTCTGCTTCTGTCACAGGGTCCTCTCTGGCTGGTTCCTGTGCCTCCTTCACCCTGACCATCGGGGCCAACATCCCTATCTCCAGACCCATAAATGAATCCCATCCCACAGAGATGCCTCTGCGGACAGGAGGTGTGCAGGACACATTCACAACTCCCAGGATGGTGACTGGAACACTGCCAGGGTGAGCTGTTCTACTGGCCGCAGACTTGGGAGCAAGGAGCACACAGAGGGACCTTGGCGCTGACTCGTGGCATCCATTCACCTCTGATGATGCCGTTCCATTCCTCTGACAGTGGCTGCTTTGGGACAGGGACAAGACTTGGAGAGGAGCCGCCCAGGTTTTCCTGATCTAAAGAGAAACACATCAAGGGGATGCGCAGGACAGGAGCAAGGAAGCAGGCTGCCCGGCCACCGTGCTGCACCATCCTTACAGCACGGGCTACCGGCCTTAGTGAGGCCCATCCTGGAGACCCAAGACAGACAGAACCTGAGCCCCAGCAACCTCTCAGCCCCCTTGCTGAGCTTGCCCTCCCTGGATGCCTTGTTGCAAGAGCAGACATTTCTGTTTTGTGTTGTTTCTTTTTGCTGGGGATTAAACTTGGGGCCTTTGCATTGAACTACATCACCAGCCCTTTTTAAAATTTTATTTTGAGACAGAATTTAGCTGAGTTGCCTAGCCTCCGCTTGAACTTGTGATTCTCCTGCCTTAGCCTCCCGGAATGCTGGGGTTACAAGCATACCAGGCTACCACACCCAGCCACATTTCCCTATTTTTAGTTATTTTGATTTCGTTGTTTCTCATCAGCAGAAGGGAGAGAAGAGAAGGGAGAAGCACCCCTGCACTTCCTCCCGGAACCAGGAATCCACTTGTTGCGAAAAGAAATATAAGTTGGCCATCAATACCACTGCTTAGGGACACACAAACATTTATGGCCCAAATCCGAATTCTTTTCAGTGTGGCATAGGCCAGGCCTTTCTCCCACAGTAGGCAGAGCTTTTATAACGGGCACAAAACCGTCAATGACAACAAGGGGCCGATCTGACAAGGCGACACTCGGTGCAAACCAGACCTTGTGAGTCTCAGGGCAGGACGCGGCGCGGCAACGCACAAGCACAGGAGGACATGCACACGGCCCAGCGCACTCGCTGAGGGCCGGATCGCTTCCTACGGCTGCGACACAAAGCACCACATTGGCCGGCTGTGAACAGCCAAAACGTGTCCTCTGAGTCAGGAATGGAGGATGTGGCAGGGCTTCCTCCTCAGGACCTATGGGGCGCCTCTCCTCGATGCCCGGCTCCAGTGCCCCTCGGCAGGCGTGGCAGCAAGCTGCCCTGCTCCTTGGTCATGTGGCCACCGTCTCCATGTCTGTCCTGTATCTTCCCAGGAGACCATGGGAAGCCCTCTCCTCTCTGTGTGTGGCTGCGTCCCACTCTGCCCTTTCTCACACAGATACAGTACTGCCGGGCATGACCTGGGCAACTCAGTGACTTTGGGAGTTTCTGTCACAAAACTAGACAGAAAAAGGGCTGGGAATGTAGCTCAGTGCAAAGGCACTGGGCCCAATCCCCAGTACTAAAAAAA